TACACACACTGAGCAAATATATCAATTAAAGGTTTTGCAAAGAAAATGTTTTAACTTATCTACCCCTTTTGCCAGGAAAGAGCAATTGCTTGAGAAGATAAGGAGGGTTGCATGTCAACCATGGTATGTTACACAAAGGCCATGAGATGTCAGTGGAGACTCCAGTCCGGGAGCAGATTTGAGATAAACCAATCAAGTGTACTAAGTGGGGACAGAACTATGTATTTCTAATGATGCTTAGGCTATTACTGGTTTTGACCTATTTATATTCCTAGCCTGTCTTTATTTCCTAATCAGTGAAACATGGCTTCCTTTATCAGCTAGCCTTGGGCAAAGTATTTCAGGATTTGAATGCTTGCTTTATTTTTCCTCTTGAAGGGAAATTGTCCACTCCCTTTTCATTAGAATTTACAGCAATGGGTTAAAGAAGGCATCCTCTACTTTAGCTCTGTGGACCTCCTGAGATCCTACCATCAGATAAGAGTTTCACTGAGATGATTGTGTGGTTAAAGAACAAGTTGTGCTTCAAAGCCTTTCCAGTCTTTCAAGAGTGTTGTGCTAGATTTTCTATATACTTGTCTCTCAAAAGGTGAAACCATGTCATCCAACCACATGTGGATTGATTCCTTGGGCCAAGTTCTTTCCTGCAGCTAACTTAATTCCATGAATAAAAAACGTAATTGTAACCAGTTTCTCTTGGGACGATTAGCTACATCTTACTAGAAAGACTCAAAGCCAACTATTTCAAAGCCACCAAATATATCAAATGGAACACACTATTTAAGAAAACTGCAGAATCCAATGTGTGTGACAGTTTTGTATTTTCAGCTCCTTTGTGTGTCAGTCTTGGTCTCCTTAATCTTTTTTATCAGAGTATTCATGAATGAGCCAATATGATTTGGTTTCTTGTCAATGCAACCATGTAATTTTTTGCTCTATGTTCTTTTATAGCCATTGTGTGCATATTTCTTGAAAAGTATTTTAGCTCAGGTCATTGTTTTGCCTTTCCCACTAACAGTTCTTTAGAAAAAAGGAAGATATAAACAGAGATACACACATTGGTAAAGCAAGACACACTTTTAGCACTAGGAAGCTCAAAGGAAAAAAAAATCTTTGCATCTACAGAAGTTTGTATAAAAGAGGAAGACTGCTATTTCCCAGCTTACTTTAAGTCTTCAGTGCAGTTTATCGGTACTCTGGCTAATTTGAAGCAATTCTGCTGGCAACGTTCAGTGTAAGAGATAGGTTTTGTTTATTCTGAATTATCTTACTGCAATTAGGCTTGCCTAGTAATTAGATCTTTTTCAGAAATTCTTACAAGCATCAGTCTGCAGAAGAACTGCATCTAGAAGCGTGGACCACTAGTTTGTGCATAACTTTTGTCTTACAGGGACTTTGGCAGAGAACTCGGGGAGGCGTGAGCTTTTTGCGTGAAGCTGCGGAGAGGAGGCACCAGAGGGCAGCAGAGGCATTTAGGATGGCAAAAGTTTGGGTTTGGTCCCATGATGAGCTTTACAAAGAAAAGCATAGCTAAGGAAAACTCTCATTACTGCTTTGTGACCCTTATTCAGCCCACTCGGAACAGATCTGAGGAGTTCAGCATTAGGGTGTGTTCCTTCCCTTTTCCTAATTCCAAGGTTTTTCAAAAACCTGAAAAGAATGGAAAAGTGCCTCAGAAACATGATTGCATGCTGGTTTTTATCATGTAAACTATTAGGTAATCTTAATGTATTGCAGAGTAGAGAGCCCTCCTCTATTCCTCCCCACTAACCCTGCAAATGTGAATTTCAGAGGTGTCTGCTGGCTAAGTTGTGCTGGATGCAGTAAAAATATTACCTATCCTCATAATTTCATACTGTAGGATGACAAATATTGCTTTCTTTTTCTTATGGATACAGGGTGAGCATATGAAAGAATAAATTCAGTGGTATGTGAGGTGTGTACACCAGTGACTGCTCAGCCAAACTGACAACTCCTCACTACTTG